CATGATCAAAGTTTCAATTGCCTGTGAATGACAAACAGTGATATATGTATCAGGAAGAACAAAGCAGATAGTTTTGTGTAAATAACTTGGAAAATCTATACCTTAAAACTATAAGGAGTGTGCCATTCATTTTTTTGCAGGAAATCTCCCAACACCTGGAATTCTCCATGAATTTCTCAGGCAGAATTCTGAGAGTTCCAGCTTACAGACATACACCTGCAGACACTTCCATTTAACTTACCTTGGCAATGATAAGTCCTCCTTCTAGGTCTTCATTTCCTGCTGCAATGCTTCCTGGTATATATATACAGTATATGTTTTAAAACATGATCAAATTTTCAATTGCCTGTTTTGTCTATAAAGTGTGGGTGGGCGGGCTGGAAGACCTATAATTAAGGGTGCAAAGAAATGAATGACACTGTTAAAAGCTACTTTGTCTTCCCTGCATATGGTCAAAGCAGATGCTGTAATCCTGAACCTATGCAATTTAATGTTAGAAACACTAATGAAAGGTGGTTCCCGCAACTTCTTAAGTGACGTGACTGCAACAATGCTTTGGGGGACATGTTTTCAGGGGGCACCATCTATGGACCACAAAAGCCAATGAGACTACTGTCCCCAGGAAGCATTGCATCTGGAAATAGGGGGCCTAGTAGAAAGCAGTGGCCTTCCTCCAGGTGAGTGAAATGAATGTGTCTAAAGTGTGGGCGGGCGGGCTGGAACACCCATAATTAAGGGTGAAAAGAAATGAATGACACTGTTAAAAGCTACTTTGTCTTCCCTGCATATGGTCAAAGCAGATGCTGTAATCCTGAACCTAAGCAATTTAATGTTAGAAACACTTAGAAACACTAATGAAGGGTGGTTCCCGCAACTTCTTAAGTGACGTGAAAAAAAGAGAAAAGAAAGGGTGCCATCTAGTTCCTATCTAGACTTCACCTACACCTTTCAAAAGAGAAGGCAGTTGTGTTCAGATTGAAGTTAGGATAAGATAAATGGTGCATCAGCTGGTAATCAACATGGGTTCCTACTAAAGCAATTTGGCAGTCATTTACGGCGAACCACACATTCTACAGTGGACCCTCTACTTACGGAAGCAATTTAATGTTAGAAACACTTAGAAACACTAATGAAGGGTGGTTCCCGCAACTTCTTAAGTGACGTGAAAAAAAAGAGAAAAGAATGGGTGCCATCTAGTTCCTGTCTAGACTTCACCTACACCTTTCAGAAGAGAAGGCAGTTGTGTTCAGATTGAAGTTAGGATAAGATAAATGGTGCATCAGCTGGTAATCAGCATGGGTTCCTACTAAAACAATTTGGCAGTCATTTACAGTGAGCTACACATTCTACTAATTCAAGTTAAGAACACACTCTGGGCGAATCCCCAAGAAAACATAGTCTAACTTTTCTTTGATACAGCAAGTGAGTTTGAGATTTTAAATTACTAGATGAAATAGGAAGAAAGGAATTCTCTGTTTCTCTTATTCAAGTTAAGAACACACTCTGGGCAAATCCCAAAGAAAACACAGTCTAACTATTTTCTTCGATATAGCAAGTGAGTTTGAGATTTTAAATTACTAGATGAAATAGGAAGAAATAGGATGAAATAGGTTTCTCTGTGGCTCATGGATCAAGCAATGGTGTAGTCTCACCCCCAGATTTTAGGGTGAGGTGCCCCCAAGTGCTAGAAACACAACAATTGACTAATTATTCTTAAGATCATGCAGTGTTTCTTTTATCAATGAGTTTTTAACACAGAAGACCTGCTTGCAGCAATTCAGGCCACCTTAGTACATACTTCTTAATTCTGCTACACGAGTAGAGTAGTCTTGCATGCAGGCCAATTGTGAGGATAATGGTGGATCAAATTGGAAGCTACTCTCTTCTAAAAATCAGCCCTGCTGCTTCTAGTATTCACTCCTCAATAAGCCACCTGCCTTTCTCAGAACCCTTACAAATTTTGCCTGGTGTTTCCATGGCATTTCCTGGACCCACCCCAGTTTTCTACTGATTTCTTAAAGCATGTTGCAACCTGTGAAACAAATACTGTATGTCTATGGAATGCTTTGATAGTAGCAAGAATCACCACCTTCTGGAAGTATGCACTCAAGCAACACTACATCTATGAGCAGTATTAAAAGGAAGCAACAGTGATAGATGTTCTAGGAATTAACTTACAACTTAAAGTGGTTTACCTGCTGTCTTTTTTTTGTAAAAAGAGGCAGAATGTTTTAGTGAAAAGATTATTGGAATGCAGCAGAAAAGGCTCGACAGATTTGTGGGAAAATGTTTTTGTACAGGTCAACCTTTGTAAAGTCTAAGAAAACTACTGTAAGATTTTCGGTCCTTGTCCATTGCAATTGTTGGGAGATAGGCCTTGTACAGTGCAGTCCTGGACATATCTGCTGAAAATGAGGTTAATCCCAGGTAAGTGTATACAAAATTGCAGCCTGACAAGTTGGGGGTACATACGCATGTGTACATAAATTTATCCAGTAGCAACAGGGAATGGAAATATACTTCCCTGAAGCCAACCCATAATGCTATCTCCACTTTTGTGGGGCTGTTTTCCTCCGTCTTCAGTGGCACAGGGAAACTTAGCCTCTTTCAGGCCATTCCCTCCATGTAGCATTGCAGGGAGTCTTGGAGATCATCAAGTCCAGTCAACTGTCCAATGCAGGTACTACAGTGCAGAATGCAGCTGTCACATTGATCTAGCCTCTGTTAATTATCTCCGACAAAGTAGAACCCCCATCTCCTAAAACAATATATTCTGGTGTCTGATATTTTACTGGTACGATATACTCCCCCCCCTCCAATGTTAAGCCAAAATTTGATCTTCTGCAATATCTAGCCTGGCCTCTGGAACAACTGTGACAAAATCTCCATCTTGTGCATGGCAGCCTTTCAGGTCTTTATTCAGTGCTCTTTATGTGACTTGCCTTCTAGACTCATCACCAGTTTGGTTGCTGTGTGCCATCTTCAGCACCCTTTGCAGGAAAGCAGGGCACACACATGCTATTCATATACTGTATTTGGACAAATCGGCCTGTCCTTAAAATCACTGTATTCTGTTAGTCCTGCTTCAGATAACTGGATGTATGTATGTATGTGATTGAGAAACCAAGTGGAGCTGTTCACTCGGTGTTCCCCACATGTTTTGTGAACATATGCTGCGGGAACGGGGCCATGCCTGCTCACCACACCTCCAACACCAATGTTCCATTGGACTGGCCTTGTCCTTGGAAGGTGTGCTTCTAGTATTTGTGTGAAAACAGTTATTTGGGGATACATATATGGCTGCTCAGCTTCTCATGCAAGTTGCAACCCTCAGTGGCCAGCCCTGCTGGCAGCTCAAAGGCGGCTTCCCAGATTTTCAGAAGCAGTCCTTGGAGGGGGCTAAAGGCATGCCAAAGAAAGGAAGAAAATAGAAATTTCATTCCATGCCTGTTGAGCTCCAAATGCATTTCTTTGACTCCAGATATGGTACATTCAGAATAATGTGTGGATGGGGACTGGGGAAGGGAGACAGTGTATCCTGTTGCAGTTTAAGGCTCTATGCTATGCCCTGTATAAGAGGTTCCATTGCGCAGATTGATAGATAGATGGACGGATGGCTAGATAGATAGATGTCCCTTTTAATCTGAGACCCTAACCAGTAGCTCAGTCAGGCAGTCTTTTCCAGAATTTTTCACATATTTAATATGTCCAGCCTTCACTGTGTTCCCATGTCTCCTTAGGGAAAAAGAATGCTGATCTAACTAGTCTATAGAGCAGGTATGTCTGCTCTTTGGATCGTAATGCCTACATCTGATAGGATAGCACCTGTAGAATTTTTATTGCATGATACCTCCCCAAATTCCCAATCATGGCGTCAATCATTCTGTGTTAAATTTGCAATGCCAATGTGAAAACGGCCTTGTGTACAAATGGCTTAAGCTAAAGTTGAGACATCTCGGAGGAGCAGGTTAGGGACAGACCATCCACAAAAAAGAAAAAATATGTTTCCAATGAGAGGAACAGTTTCGTCATCCATGATGTGAAATGCGAATGGTTTCAGATTGCACTGGAAAAATAAAAATAATAAAAAAAAACACTACAGAAGAGGTTAATTTAAATCACAGATAGCAAACTACACCATGGCACAATGTGGTGTCTAAAAAACAGGCTTAGGACCTTTGGCCTTTGCTATGTAGACTGGGCAGGTTTGGAGGATTACAACGGAGGACAATGGAAAGAAATCCTGGTAGCCCAGATTGTTTATAAGCTTGTAACTCCTTGTTGAATGAGCTTCCAGGGTACACTGTCTGCCAAATTTAAATGGACGTTTCTAGATTTACACTTTTAAAATATACACCAAAGATGTCCAACAAAAATGTAATGTGAAGTGTTTTTCAAACAGGAGCGCAAAAGGAAAAGAAGTCCATACTAAAAGAAGACAGTAACTGTGCCCATGTTGGCCTCGTTGGTTATCTCAGATTAGAGATAGGAAGTCCTGCTCCCAGAATTGGCATTCAGCATCCCCTGATGATTGTTTAATGGAGTAGCAATTGAGATGCTTGAGCCGCTCACCTTCAAACATGGAGTCTTTGATCCACAATACGGCATATTTTTTTTAAAAAAAGAGAACAGTTTGTACTCTGTCTTCTTCCATCCTGTCTGCCATGTATACTGATAATTGGGCTTGGTGTTTGTATTCCTTGTTTGGAATCTGCCCTGGACGTTGTCATGAGGCTGTCCGTGTGCAGGTAGCCAACAGGAAACGGGTGAATGGGGTTATGGCTCACCCTGTGAGGGAGGCATATTCCGACTTGCCAAGAGCTTAAATTGCTGTATTGGTTTCTCTTATTTCTGAATTATTGCGCTTCCTCATTCAGTGGGAGGAAAGAAAGGTAGGCAGGCAACAGAGAACAACTACCACTCCCTAAGTGAAGAAGGTGCACTGCTTTTGGTCTTATGTGTCATCTCATCATCAACCTGTTTTTGCCTGTGAGTCACCAGTCAAACCAGATGGGCAGGTCTGCTACTAACTTAGAAAAAGAAGGAACAGGTGCACCCTGTCACACAGAAACTGGGAAGCTTTTGCTGTGGATGGGCTTCATCTTCAGGGTGCTAAAGTCACCTGTCTCTCCTTAAAGACTTCTTCGCCTCAACCTTTACACACTCATGGAGTCTACTTTGAGGGCTGCACTGTTTTTGATGCTTGTCGCTGGATCATCAGCTCAGAATGCTTGCATGTGTCCAACAAACAAGCGGACGTTTTGTGACATGGACTCGGGCAGCTGTATCTGCAAGGCACTGGGTTCAAACCAAAGAGTCGACTGTTCAACATTGACTTCAAAATGTCTGCTAATGAAGGCTGAAATAAGAACCATGAAACCCCGTGTTTGGGGGAAGCCAGAGCATGCTTTCCTGGACAATGATGGACTTTATGACCCAGACTGTGATGCCAATGGCACCTTCAAAGCCCGTCAGTGCAATAATACCGAGACTTGTTGGTGCGTGAACAGTGCTGGGGTAAGGAGAACGGACAAGGGTGATAAAAATATGAGATGCAATGAGCTTGTCAGAACAAACTGGATTATAATTGAACTAAAGCGCAAAGAACAAGAATCTGCCTTCCTAGAGACTGAAGTGGAAAATAGTCTGCGACAATTCATTCAGAACCGGTATATGCTCCGCCAGAATTTCATCCCAGATATCAAGTATGAGCATCCATTCATTCAGATTGACTTGAAACAGAGCAATACACAGAAGTCTTACGGAGATGTCGATATTGCAGATGTAGCCTATTACTTTGAAAAAGACATCAAGCGTGACTCCCCTTTTCCTTCTAGTAATGCATTTAATCTCTCTGTCAAAGGAGAACCTCTAGATATTGAAGAGATCCTAATCTACTACATTGATGAAAAGCCACCAGAGTTTTCTATGAAACGTCTGACAGCTGGCATTATTGCGGTCGTGGTGGTCATTGTCTTGGCCTTTATTACTGGGACTACAGCACTTGTGCTTACCAGGAGACGAAGGACTGGGAAGTATGAGAAAGTTGAGATTAAGGAGATGGGAGAAATGAAAAGAGGACAAACCTCATAGAATGCCTTAAAATGAAGGCAGAAATAAGATTTGGGTGAAGTGAAAATAGATGCAAAGATAATTCCATGGTTTTGAAGGTGAGAATGTACTAGCTTTTCTTCTCAGAAATAATGGATAAAGATAAAAAGCAATTGCTTTGTACAAGCTTCTACAATTGTAGATTGAAAGAGTGCTATGCATATTATTAGCATTTCCTTGTAATATACTATTGTGACTCAGAGAGAAATTCTTATGCTATATATTCCACCCTGGAATTTTCCAGTTTCATATTAGTTTTGTTAGAAAACAATCTTCTTCCACAGCTACACAGTTAATCTGCATTTCTGTATTAGTTTTATGTATACCTGTGTGGCATTTTTTCCCCAGTGCTTTTTGGCTCTTGTTGCTAAATTGTATATGTTCCCTCTGCAAAGCTGAAACTGATTAAAGATGTTGCCTTTGATAAAATGACTGACTTGGTGAAAAGTGCTCCTTTAACAATGACCATTTCTGTCCCTGTTTTAAAATTTGATAATGGACAAATCCTTAAACCATGAAATTCACTGGCTGATGCTGAACCAGTCACATTCTCTCAGCCTCCATCAGGGTTGTGAGAATAGCAGGTGAAGGAGAGCCATACACATCCTCTCAGCTTCACAGAAGAACAGGCAAGATATCTCACTGGCTGATGCTGAAACCAGCCACATTCTGTCAGCCTCCATCAGGTTTGTGAGAATAGCGCATGAAGGAGAGCCATATACATCCCCTCAGCTTCACAGAAGAACAGGCAAGATATACAAGATAATAATAGTGGCAATAATAACCTTTTGTGAACTGATGCCTGCATAACTTTTCACATGCAATTACATGTGTAAGGTAACCTTTCTGGAAATAATTCTCCTTAGCTTCAGACTGTTGTTAAGCTCTATGCTAAGCAACATTCTTCCCAGCAGCGATCAAACAGATTTGTGGTCCACAGCATCTTCCAGCATGTACTGTATGAATCAGCTTTTCTATTTTCAGTTGCTCTAGTAATACTGTATGCTGGATGTTGCAATATCAAGTTCTCCAGGATCCAGGAAAGTTTATATAATGAAACAGTAGCCATTCAATGCCATTTCTTGAAAAACTACTGGCAGCAGTAGTTTTTAGTAAGCTAGCATGGTTTCAAGGGACACACTGCTGCATGCAGGAAGTGCTTGCTAGCTAAAAAAATTTTTCTTCAGAGCTGAGGAAAACTATCCTCTTTGCTGTTCCCCACCCCTACAGTAAAGGATAGTCAGGTTTTCCATAAAGTTTCTCCTCAAAAGCAGTGATTTGCTACAAGCCATTAAAATGGCTGTTACAAACAGATCGCAGCTGCCGGTAAGCGCGCTTGGAGCGGGGTTGCGGAGGACGGCTAGGGCTGCCCCCCCATGCAGCCCAAACCAAATTTATGTGCGGCCCAAACCAAATTTTCATCTTCTAATGTGGCCCAGGGAAGGTGAAAGGTTGGACACCCCTGGTTTATATAATGAAACAGTAGCCAGTCAATGCCATTTCTTGGAAAGGGTCACCAGATTCACCTGCTGGCAGCAGTAGTTTTTAGTAAGCTAGCATGGTTTCAAGGGACACACTGCTGCATGCAGGAAGTGCTTGCTAGCTAAAAAAATTTTTCTTCAGAGCTGAGGAAAACTATCCTCTTTGCTGTTCCCCACCCCTACAGTAAAGGATAGTCAGGTTTTCCATAAAGTTTCTCCTCAAAAGCAGTGATTTGCTACAAGCCATTAAAATGGCTGTTACAAACTGGAGTAATTATTACTGGCTGACACAGTCATTGCCTTCCCTCCAATTTTTTTTGTATCTGTGTAGTCAGAGCTGTATGAAATGTTTTGGGAACGAATACGCTGGTCCCCATACCAACTCAGCTGCTGCTGTTTTTCCATTTATAGCAAGCTGTTCAAGAGAAAACGCAGTCAATGGATTCACTGTGCAAGTAAGAAAGTGCGGGTAATCAAAACAAAACAGCAGAAAAATATTGATAACTCAGGGCTAAGGAGGGGTGGTTTTTTGAGGGGGTTGCGTAAGTGTGTGTGCATTTGGGTGGAAAGAACAGAATGGGATAAGTTAGACCAAGCATGATTAGTTACTCTAATCCATTAACCTTATCCGAAAATGAATAGGACCTGATATTTCTATATGTCATCATCAACAGCCTGTTGCACTCTCTGCTAAGGGACACAGAAAGCACTGAGGTCAAAAATGAGGAGGAATACAGTATATGTCAGCAATTAATCAAAAGAACAGAAAGATTAATTGCAGCAAGGAATACAGAGAACATCTCTGGCCATATGTCATTCTAAAAATAAAGACCCAGGGAGAACATTACTTTTACAAACTTCATGTGCTTCCAGAATATATGATTTCATTCTTTTCCTGTTATCTCAGCTTTCTCAGGTTAATGGATGGTATAACAGTTAATTAAAAGTGCACATTGCTACCAACGTTCTACCCAAAAATGGTCAAAGACATCTTCTAAGCTCTCTCAAAGTGTATTACAGGAAGAAAGCTGTGAAGAAAGGAAGATTCAAATGACACATTCACAATGCTGTAAGCTCAATTTAACGCATGCTCCTATTAGTAACTGTATGAAATAACTTACATTTAATCTACACACCTAGACCGAGTTCACGACAAATTCAACAAACCATTTGGGTGCATGGTCAGGATGATCCCTCTATCACAGTCCGTTTCAGTACAGAACAGAGTTAATCCATTGCTTGTTACTTGAGAAGATTATTTTTTATCAAATATAGGAGAAACCAAGTAATTTACTTTGGAAGGGATGTGTGAGTTCAGAGGTTTCTTTTATTTTCTTGCACAGGACCACAAAACAGCAAATTACATTATAAGGTAAACCAAGAATATCTTAAGACTTCAGTCCTAACAACAGTTTGAGTTCTACCAATCATTAATTATAATAATAAATAATAATGAATAATTAAGAGATAATAATTAATAGATAGCAGTGCCCAATGCTCCTTGAATGAAATTTCTTTTTTGCAGTGAGTTGATAGGCCTTCTAAACAACCATTTTTTACTTCTGTTGTAATAGAACATCATCATCCATGTGTGTGAGACAAGCTCTTATGGCCACGGCAGTCTGATGCATAGTAGGCGTCTTCTAACCTCCAACCAGTCAGTCTGGTATACCACATGATTTAGCTTTTAGCAATGGCACAACAACTTCAAATGTTGGATTTTTTTTAAGCACTGTCTGTGGATGTCAAAAGCTGAAGCCAGCAGATGTCACTGGATTCACGACAACTGACTGGTCACTGGATAGGAGGTAGCACACATGTTTTTAAAATACTTTTTTGTAGTGGAACATGTTCCCATTTTTCTTTCTCTTACATTACTTTTAGAGCGACTTTCTCAAACCCAGTTTTGAACTACCATTCAACACTATCTTTCCCCAAACCCAGTCTACTTCCAATCTTTTGAACTACCATTCAACACTATCTTTCCCATCATCCCCTCCAGAGAGTTGTAGCCCAAAACATTTCAAGACTGTCAGATTGGGGAAGGCTGCCCTAAAGCAACATCACTCAAGTTTATCCACAGGACAACATGCGCCGTATTTGCCTCTGAACATAGTCAGTGAAAGCTGTGTCTTTCTTAAATGTTGTTCAGTTTTTGCTTGAATGAAACACATCTCATTTTGGTGACTCTACCAAACATTAATGAAAGTGTACTAAGAGTTTTGGCCACAGCTTGACTCATAAGAAAAAGTGTTTTTCAAAAGTTCCATGTGTGAAAGAAACTAGAAAGTGTGTACTTCAGTGTGACTTGTCCTATTCCGACTATGTACAACAGCACATATTCCATGGCTATGAAAAAATGTACTGTTCGGTGACACTGAATTTATTACATAGTTTGATCTAGAGTCCTGCCGACCTAGCAGTTCGAAAGCATGTAAATGTGAGTAGGTAAATAGGTACCACCGCGGTGGGAAGGTAACAGTGCCTAGTCGCACTGGCCACGTGACCACAGAAACTGTCTATGGACAAACGTTGGCTCTACGGCTTGGAGATGGGGATGAGCACTGCCCCCTAGAGTCAAACACTACTGGACTAAATGTCAAGGGGAACCTTTACCTTGATCTAGAGCTTGGCAAAGTTACTTTTTTGACCTACACCTCTCAGAATTCCCCAACCAGAAGACAGCTTGAACAACTATGGCTGAAATTCAGTTGTAAGTCAAAACTAGAATAGGCCCACAGGATCAATGGAACTTATGGAGGAGTTGATCAAATCCCCATTGATTCAATTGGGCCTACTCTAGTTATGGCTTATTACTGGATCTCTACCAAAATATATGTCTGGCTTTTACCTGGAAAAACAAACAAACAAATCCCAGCGAAAGAAACATTCACTCCTGCTTAACTGTGAACACAGAATCACTTTCTATCTTCTTGCAATACAGACAGTAAATGATCAAGAGCTCTGTTATTGTTTATTTACCAGTGAAAAAGAATATGTTGCAGAGTTTTGAATTTTGGTTAAAAACCTCTAGCTGTGCAACAGAAGTGCAGGGACTTCCAGAGCAGAATTGGCTTCACTTCTACCCAAAGCAGACTACTCCTTTTGTTCTTATCAACTGGCACTTACAGTCTCAAAAATGCACTTTGATATGTTGGTAAGAGAAAAAAATAAAAAAGATTTCATTTACTCACAGCTACACAGATCTAAACAGTATAAAGTACAAAAATGACTGTTTAAAGCAACAGTCTTCAACAGACTACTCTGAATGCTTTTTGTAGACTCTTGCAGACTATATTCTTACTGCACACTAACAGCTGCTAGCCGACTAAAAGAGAGGGGAAAACAGGCAGAGTGTATGGCCCTCTTTGAAATCAGAGGCTGGAAAATGGTTACTGCTGGACTGATTGACAGTCACCCCACCCCACCCCACCCCAGCCAAACCTATTAAGGCAATGGACAAGACTGAAATAACTCCAACAGAATAAACCTTACATGCTG